ATCCAAGAGGTCTTCAGAGGAAATATCTAAAGAAGTATTTTTTGGACCACTAGAATCAGTTTTATTGATTCATGCTTTCAGTTCTTATTCTGTTAAAAACAAAACACATTAAATATATCTTCTTATTGCTCTATAAAAGCATGCAGCTCATTCCATACATCAAAAGTAATAAATAATGGTGAAGGGCTGGTGAGATGGCTCAGTGGTCTAAAGCACCTACTTAGAACAAGCTTAACAAAGCACAGGGACCACGGTTCAATCCCCCAGCACCACATGCCAGCCCGCCCCGCCCCCTGGTGGGCTGAGCTGGCCACACACACACACACACACACACACACACAAATAAATAAAATTTTTTAAAAAAAATTTAAAATAAAAAAATAAATAATGGTGAAAAACACCAAAATAGTTATAAAAACGACAACCCAGCCTCAAACATAGCATTGAACAGTCTAATCTGGAACAATAACCCAATACAATATATAAAAGTGCCACGTATAAAAACATGCAGTGTATATATCTACTTCAGTGTCCCGAGCCACGGGTTAGTCAATGAAGGTCACCTGGGGGAGGAGCGGGGAGGAGAGGGGACAAAGGACAGGAGATGTGAGAAATGGAGACAAGATAGGATTCTGATCAAGTCTCGTTTATTCAGGGGAGGTGCTGGGGATATATAGTGGAGGCATAGGGAAATGACATAGGCGGGTAAAAGGTGCGAGTAACTAGGCAACTGGCTATGACAGGAAGTCCCACCTCCGGGGCATAGCAGGTGATTCAGGGGGAATGGGCAAGGTGGGAAGGACCATAAACTTAACTCAGCAGGGGAATAGAAACTTAAGAAAATGGCTGACACTATTATAAAATGGATACCAGTTAATGGCTTCCCACAGGTCCCCCTTTACTTTTACATATGTATGTAAAATATGGCTTCTGTAGACAGCTGATTTCCTTGAGGGGGCAGTGCCTGTCTTAGGTCAAGGTGTTCTCTACACAGACCCAACTCAAACCTTACCCATCATAGGAGACCAGGACGGCAGAAGGTCCCGTTCCTGTCTTAGGTGGTGAGTGGTGTCTCATGTATGCCCCTCATTACCCGTCTCTGGCTAGCCTGACCATCTCACCAAGGGTGGGAGAACTAAGAGGTTTCCGGACCTTCATCATCATAAGCTGGTTGTATTCTAGCATAGTTTTCCCTTTCAGCCATCTCAAGCCTGAGATAATGAACCTGTATGGGTTGCATTTTAATGGCATCCAATTGTTTTTTAATGAAAGTCATCAGCCTATTGAAAAGACAGGGTCCTATTGATAAAAGTATTAATAGTCCAATCAAGGGTTCCAATAGGGGGAGAAGGTAGGGTAGTACTCCATTCCATGTGCTCCAGAAAGGGTTTTCAAATAGTTCTCTTCTCCTCTTAAGAAGATCTTCTTGAAGTCTCTTTATTTTATCTCAAACAATACCAGACTTGTTTGCGTAGAAGTAGCAGCATTCCTGTAAAACCAAGCAGATCCCTCCCCGCTCTGCTGTTAGAAGGTCTGAGCCCCTCCTATTTTGCAAGACTACTTCCGCTAATGAATCTATCTGGTCTTGGATATCTTGGATAGTACCAGACAGTGTTTAAACATCATCAATCAGCTGATTAGATAATTTGGTATAAGAATGTACTGCTACTCCCAATCCTGCTATACCTGTTCCTAGGACTACTGTAATTCCCAGTCCTACCAACAAAGGGATAAGCTGAACTGCCCTTTTAGTGCAGCCCATGACATAGTCAAAGCTAGGAATGGGCACACACCCTTAGGGGGTTCTTTGTCCTTTAAGATGGGTTTTACCTTTTGAAAATATACCTGTAGTATATTTTCACCCTTTTTATTTATTTATTCTTTTAATTTTTTTTTATCACATTAGCAACAACCGGGTCACAGTGTCTCTGGGATAAGATTTTATCAATTAAATTCTAGTGGGAAAAGGCCGTTACTGGTGTTATAGGTAGCCAAATTAGATAGAAATATTAATAGGCAGTCAGACAGGGCGAGGCCCTTGAAGGAGACAGCACAAAAGACAAGTTATCTTGTAACTGTGGGAGGGACAGATGCTCCTGCTGCAAGCCAGACCTAAAAGATCTAAAAGCCAAACAAATGCTAAAAGAGTAGCACCTGGGATTGATATTCTAAATATGTATCGATCACCTAAAAAGACCCAAGTGAGTCACCAGCCCAGCCCCCAACAAAAAGAGACCCTGTCCCGTATTTATGCCCGCTTACTCTGGGACTCACTTCCCCATTTGGCCCTGGATGTAATCAACTTTACCTGAGCAGTGGTGCTTGTAATCCCATTGGTTGACCATAGTTTCATCCCATCCCACATCCACCTAAGCGAGACGCCTTCCTCTTGTGTGTCCAGCGCGGCCCCTCCTCCTGCCCCAAGCCTTGGGCAGCCGGGACAGCGCTGCTGCCTTTTAATGCTGCGCCACATCAGAGGCCTATCTGGGCCGTCACTGCCCAAGTTTAGCTCAGCGCAGGCAGCTGAGTGGTGCCTCTTGTGCCATGCATCTTCGCTACTTTTCTTGGCCAGCCGCCGCCCCTTCATCTCTACCTTAACCCCACATGGTTTTGCTGTATAAAAATAAACTGAAAGAGACAGCTTCCTGGGCAACCTACTCAGGTCCCCCTTTTGTCCTCTTTGAGACAGAAGCTTTCTTTCCCAATAAAATATTTTACTCTCAACCTCCATTTGTTCCTAAAATTTTATTTTTGGTTTTAGAGAACACAAACTCATTTAGACCAGGTTGGGAGTTTCACTTCTCTGTATCACTGGGACCTTTTTAGGTCCAACAGTCTCATAATAATCCTTAAGGGCATCACCAACCCTTTTCTATCAATAGTTTCTTTAATAGGGAACCATGGGCAAACTTGTTTAATATATTTAAAATATTGACACAAATCCTTAATTTTAACCTTTACTCCTCGTGCCTTTAATGCTTTGCTCAAACTTTCTATAAATATCTCATGTTTACTTAATGCCTGTCCCATTGTCGAAGGGAAAGGGAAAGGGGGTG